GCTTGTATATTAAATATGCTACCATTTTTTTTACTTCTAAAATTATTTTACTAATTTGTTGATTTTGAAACATTGATATTTTGAAACAAATCATTTTGCAAGTATGCATAAATGGTAAATTTTTATCTTTTATTACTCTAAATTCTTTAATAAGTAAACATTTTGCATATTCTAGAGATTTTTTACACAAATGTAGTCAGTTTATTTATATAATGATTATTCTAAATATTTGGAACTGTATAAGCATATATCTGTTTGGTCTTTATTAAATCTATAGACCATTTGATTTCCAGTTGTGTTCCTTTATTGAAGTTCTGAAATACTGAAAATTAAGCTAATCTCATTATAAGCGTGTTTGTGCTTATACTGTAATTAAACATGAGTGTTATATACATTCTTTGTGCTAAAACTGCCAATTATATCAACATATTTTCTAATAAAATGTCACCAATAGTTTTGAAAAGAGTCTCTCTGGGTGATCATGAGTTCTAATCCTGGCTTAGGCATGAACCCAGCTGGGTGTCCTTGGGCCAAACACACTGTCAGCCCTAGGAAGAAAACAAGGGCAAACCACTTCTGAAATCTTGCCAGGAAAACTTCAGGAACTTGTCCAGGCAATCACCAAGAGTCGAGACTGACTCGAAGGTTAAATAAGTAATTGAAACTATTATAAAAAGATAAGCAGATGAATCTTGGATAAAGTGTATGTGAATGTAGCGTGAAAAATATGTTATATGCTCATTTTTCTGGTTTTAGAATATCTGTGTAAGTAAATAATCCATTGAATTAAAGGATTTGAAACCTTGATACGCAAATTATCATTACATAGATATTAGTATCTCCCATCTTTAAAACATGTTGCAAGGCGAGAGATGGTGGGACGGAGTGGGTGGTGTGCTGGGATTGCCTGCCCTGGCGTGTCCGCGGGCAAACTGAGAGATGGTGGGATGGAATGGACAGCGTGTCGGGATTGCCTGCCTCCCCCCTTCTCCCTGCCTCTGCCTCCGTTCTTGGACTTACCTGTGCTGTGTGGGCTGCGGCTGTTGTCGGACACCATCGGCCCCTGCATGCTTTTCACCGCCTTGCTGGCCACCCCCACCCCCGGGGTTATTTTTGGTGTAGGGCTTATATTAGGCGCACCCTAAAAAATCAGACTAGGGCTTTTTTTTCTGGGTGGGGCTTATTTTCAGGGAAACAAGTATATATCAAAACAGCAGAACAAATTGGCAACTGAGATCTTAACCAATATGCTACAATGGTATCTAAAGATAAGCTTACTCAATATTCTTTCTCTCCAAGGGAATACTTAGGTCTTAAGAGCTGGCAGGGTCCTCATCATCTGAATTCTGGATTAGCAGACATCTGAAACAGCATGGAATAGATAATTTATGAATATGTTCTCTCCTAGTTCCACTGTTGTAACAGTCAATGAAAACATACCACTAAATTTCATTCTAAATTAACTTTTCATTGACATTGCTCTTCTTTTTCCAAATAAAATACTCTAACCACCATCCCTTGTGTTTTTTAATTTTAATCTAAAACCTACTTTGTAGAAATGTAATGTCAATATAGCTCATATTGCCACTTTAGTAAATTCTGAGATATCTCTACTCTGGTGAAGTCATGTGATATTGAAGAAATTAAAATGTTTTCATATATTAACTCTGATGCAAGTAAAACTTACCTTAATTTTCTTCTGATCCTATTAATATTTGTATTAATTGCAAAATCAATAATCCTCAAATAATTTTTGCAATATTTTAGGAAGCACTGCATAAGAAAGGAGTTTGAGATTGTTTATAATATATCGTGATTCCAGAGCCACTATGTTCTGTACCATCAAATCAACTTCCAGTTTTTTAATGTGTTATGTAACAATTATTTGCATTAGCTCATTTGAATTTACTAGAAGCACAAGCATGGTATATTTCCTCCTTATAAATTATTTCTTCTCTATCTTTTATATAGAAATCTTTAGTAAGCATAATTTGAATTTAGTTCAACTTTTATGTTGAAAAATAATTCTTTTTTTTTCAGTTATAGTGAGATGTATCAAATGGTGTTTTTCAGAAGAGTATTAATGGCCAAAGTGGTAAACATTTCTTCCATGTTGTGCATTCCCATTTCTGCTTCAGAAGATTAGAGCACTTTCCAGAGCAGACATGCAGAGTTTGTCCTGAAGAGGATTCTGTTAATTAATTTGCAGTTCAAGCATCTCAGTTTTCTTCTCTTTTCTTATCAGATTAATCTTGAACTGGGTTTAGCCTTTGTTTTCAGCATTTTGCCCTTCCTAGCAATGTTTAAATAACATGCATTTTTTCTTTAAAGGATTAGAAACCATTAACCATGCAAATACAGAAATATAACTGCAGTATTTGTACACATTATCAATAGAAAAGAAATATTATTCTGATTCCCAAGTTCATAAAATATACAGCATTGCATTCTTTAACCCACATATAAGGTATGACTGAAACGATGCAGCTTTTTCAAGTTGACTGCATTAAGGGTTAATCTTGTATTGATGGAAGCAGAGCTTTTTGTAGCAGATAATTGAACTGGTGGGGTGGAAGACTGGAGGTCTCTAGAGTTTCACCCTCACCCAGCCTTGTGCCTTGGGGTTAGCAGCTTGGTAATTCCCATTGCCAGCACCTATTTTCCAGGGGTGCCTCATCTGGTATCCACCCTGTAATTTAAGTTTTAATATTAATTGCTATGGTAAAGTAAAAGCCCCTAAATTTACAAGAGTGTGGTTATTAAGGTGTGTGTGTGTGTGTGTGTGTGTGTGTATCTTTGTTCATCAACTTCCCCTTAATGTTGTGGAATTGCGAATAAATTTTAAAAACCCCTACTTTATAAGAGTGGTCTTATTAAGGGATTAGTAAATGAATTTGGTGAACAATTTTGATATTGCAGAAATAAGAAATTATTGCAGAAGTAATATTATAAGTAAGTATCATTAATGTCAATTAATAAAAATCCTGGATTTATATATTGTGGAATAAATAGCTGGGTTAAAAGCTTCTGTGATGTGACATATCTCAGAATTACATTTAAGTAGTCTGAGTAAAAGTTATAGAAAACACATTTAAAATGCAGCATATATTTGGCATAGTTGATTTGAATCAAATAACAAGGATTTAAAAGATTCCCTTCTCTCCCCATCTTTCAAATCCCTTGTGTTGCTAATTCACATCATTGCCATAATTTTGGTAGAGTTAGTGTTTTTCTGTGATTAAAAGGATAAACTACAATGGTTTACTATTAATGCTGACACATAATATATTGGCATCTGCTATTATGGTTATTATGACATATATAGAATTTCATGAACCACTAGTTTTCATTTTTCCACTTCAAGGTATTCAGAGAAACTTCAACTGAGTTATCTTACAAATAGAGGAGTTCCTTCTGTTTATTAAGGAGACTCCCAATCTAGAGAACTTGGCAGGACCTAGTGAGAAGATGGGTCTTTGCTAATTCAATATTTAATCTACATCTCTAGTATTGATAGCAGTACCCTTTGGCGCACATTTTTAGCATTTCTTTTACTATGGTGATGATGATTAAAACTTTGTGCTTTGCACAAAATTGCATTTTTGAAGAGGAATGCTTCCCTAAGTTAAGTTATTAAATGTTATAAGGCAATAGTAGATTCCTGGACTTGGTAGAGGTTTTTATTAGATCACTGATTCTCAACCTGTGGTCTGCGGACCCCAGGGGGCCCACGATGTCACAAGGGTCCATGAAGTCTTCAAGAAATGTTATGATTTAAATCTTAAGTCTTAGTGGTCCATGGCCACAAAAAGTATTTAAAGGGGCTCCGTGGTGAAGTAAAGATTGAGAACCTATGTATTAGACGATCTTCTAGATCCCTTGCAAACTTTATATTTTATGAAATGACACTGGGTGATGGAAAGAATGGGCTAGGCTGGGCTGGTACAGGTACTCCTCAACATGCAACCACAACTGAGCCTAGAATTTCTGCTGTTAAGCGAGACATTTGTTAAGTGAATAACTGCAGCTGATAAGTTAGTAACCCGGTTGTTAATGAACCTGGCTTCCCCGTTGACTTTGCTTGTGAGATGATCGCAAAAGATGATCACATGACCTTGGGACACAGTCATAAATAGGAGTCAGTTGCCAAGCATCTGAATTTTGGTCACATAATCATGGGGGTGCTACAAAGGTTGTAACTGTGAAAAATGGTCATAAGTCACATTTTTCAGTGCCGTTGTAACATTGAACACTCATTAAACGAATTGTTACAAGTTGAGGAATACCTGTACATGCACGGGCAGAGAGATTTTAAAAATGTATCTTGCTTTTTTTCCTCATGGTTAACATCCTTCAGTAATCAATCTATCCTATACACCAGGAGTTGCAAAAACGTGGGTTTTTGAAATTATAATGTATATGCATAATTTGTTGCCATTATTTTGAACTTTTTAAAGGGGTGCGAGAATATATCAGAAGCGGTTTAGGGGCGTGGGGTATAGAAAAGGGAGCCGCTGCTCTACACTGACTTTGAATCTAATGTTTGACCGCAAATCTAGGGAATTTTTAAAGAGTTCAAACAAGCATCTTCTGTGGTTGTAAAAAATAAGTGACTCTGGAAACTGAAAAGCTTCTTGATAAATCTTACTGATAACTAAGGGTTCAAAATTAAACTGAATTAAAATTCTGAAAATATTCTTTTAAAAATGCATGTGTGGGAGGGAGGATTCCTCTGTATGGTTCTAAAAAGCTTTTGGTAGACGTGGATAGAAAAAACTTTTTTTTCATGAGATAGTAATTAGTCATGGTGCAAGCTCAGTGATATAGTGGAACTTGAGACCAAAGAGAAATGTTGAAGATTTGGTGTGTACTAAGATCGGAAATAGAAATTTATCACATACTGAGGAGTTGTTAATTTGAGCAGATTATATATGGTGTATCACTTTAATGTACCTGGTGTGGCCTAGTTATGATGGACATATTGCATTTGATATTCTTAGGGCTGGAGCACATAACTACATTTGCCATGGTGGAGATGTTGCTGAAAACGGGAGCATGGGATATCAGTGCATGATCACGGAGCTCCACACAGTAAGTACTTCTGTATGTTCTAGCCAGGATGGTGATGGCAGCATCCCCGTGGCAAAATATGTGCACTCCAGCCCTTAGTCTTTAATTGTTGTGCCATCTCTGAAACATATTCTAGGTCAGCCCTTGAAAATAAAGACACTTGAAAAGAAGAAACGGACACTTTGAAAATGAGAATTGATCATGATTATCATCCGGGTTGATAGGTATATGTTTTAGAAACAAACATAATCGAATTCTGAAGGATTAGGGTATGAAGTGCAGTTTTACAAAGTAAAGGCAAAAAGCAACACATAAAAAATCTGGTACAAATAATAAAATCAGTAAAGATTATGTCTCTGCCATACTGTATGTGGAAGAATTCTAAAAGGAAACTTTCCAAATTTCTGAATATATTTTCAGAACTATTTATACTTTTTCATGTAGTTTACTAGTTTTAGTTGTTTAAATAAGGGATTTCAGGGTCATAAAAACAGAGTTTTTTAGTTGTTTAATTGGTAAGAGTTCTCCACACTTACACACTTAACTTTCCATGAAAAAGTTAAACATTCACTTTTTCCTAATAGTCATCTGTCTCTCTCTCTTTTTTGAAAAACATGTTTGTTTACTTTTTTAAAGAAAAAAAACCAGTTCATACAAATCTTCCTCAAAACCTTTCAATTTATGGTGCTGCAGAGATAATATAAAATTTGTTCGGTGCCCAAACTGCATACAATCCTTTTATGGGAAATGGCATTTCATTTTTAAAGGCCCATTAAAGCCCAGAACTTTCCCATTGTGGAATTTCTAATAGGGGACTGTTTATATCCCTCTTCAAAGGCCTTTGGGCCGCCATTATATAAATAGTAAACTTTATGCCCAGCATAATATGAGACTATGCTGATAATTTGGTGGTGATTACATGCTTTGTAATATTTATAGTTCAAGTTCAACATAATATCCTCAGTTCTTGATACTAATACAATCGGGTATTCTTAAACCAGTTTGATGCTGCATTATTTTGATTTGCTGTAATTGGTGATACATCATGCAAAATAAGTAATAATATGAATGATCAAAAAGGAAGTAAAGAAGGACATGACTTATTTTGATCAGAATGACAAAAGCAGATTTATTTATTTCTATCTGATAGTAACATTGATGGCAGTACATTAAAAGCTCACTGATGTAGAAGTTTGTCATCTTAGGGTGAGATGTTGGTATAAAGTTATTTTTCACAGCCACACAGAGTAGAATGTACAGTATATCATCAGACTGTTTACTGAAAGGAATTATTTTTTGCCAACTCATGTACTTTTGAGATACCTGTTTGAAGATTCGTAGTTCTTTCTCAAAATCATAGATTTATTGATGTTAGAGTTTTCCTTATTGATCTTCTTAAGGAAGGCTAGTGATATTTTCTAATACCCTGTAAATACTTGGAATATCTGTTTTCGAAGATTATGTTTGGTATGAGAAATGGCATAGGAAACTGTAGATGAGTTGGCAAAAATAATCCCTTTCAGTAAACACAGCTGAATAAATAGCCTTTCCACAAATGTCAGGTCAATGATAATATTTTTTGAACCTCAGATTCTCATAGTGAATAGGTACTGCACCACCATAACTATAAAATCCAAAGATGAGCCTCTAGCATGTTAAAATTTCCCTGTTAAGAAACTAAGCTAAGACTGGAAAACTTTATATCAAATATCCACAGTCATTAAAATCATTGGTGTCACTTGCTATCTCTCAGTCTAAACTACTTCATAGGTTTGTTGTGAAGAATATATTTGGACAAAGCTTGCTTGATTTTCTAGATAAAAGGTGAGTTATCAATGTTTTAAATGAATAGCATAGACAAGGAATATCAATCAAGTGCAAGTTGCGGATTGTTTGATTATGCTGTGGTGAACAACAGACATCAACATTTGAGGGCTGATAATGTTTCACCTCTTTTGCCACTCTTGATAAGAGACACCCGTCTGAACTGGCAGTTCAATGAACTGTTCTTGATGTCGTCATTATTGACCTATAGAAATGTTGATATTGGAATCACTACAAATGTACTAATGTAATAATCATATTACATTATTTAATGTAATATGTGAATAATTTCTGCATACATTTTAGAAGCCCTTCACCAGAGATAATTATTTAAAATATCTACTAATAATGTCATGAATTTTGTAGGCTTCTGTGATCAATTTTCCTCTAAATCTTATAGTCTATTAAATTAAATGAACATGCAGAATAGAAATTAACCAAAAGAATGTTTAATACACTGAAGCCGATGAGAACGTGCTGAAATGAAATTCAAATTATATGTGATCATGACTCCTAACAAACTGTAACATAAACCTAAAAATGCTTCTGTGAAATAATTTCTATTTAACACTTAACCCTTCCCTGATCTGAGGGCTCCCTATAAGCAAGAATGTGATCATGGTTGATAAAGGTTCCTTTAAACCATAGTTTTATTGCTTTGACTCAAACATACATTTACATAAATAACTAGTGTCTCAAATACATTTGAAATAGTAAATTTGAAACATTTTATATGATTTCGCATATTTACCCATAGTCTCAAACTGAAGAATGCTATGTTTGAACCTAATTGAATTGCATTTAATAATTTCTGAAAAATAGATTCAAATATTCCAGAAAAATTCCACTATTGTATAACAATGCAGCATTGTTGAATCAATTATAGTTGGTTGGATTCATTCATTGTGCTAGATGTACATTGTGTTTTATAAACCACAATAGCTATACTTATTGAACATATTGTCATAGTGTAACAAAGGATGGACCTCTACAGCAGAAAAACAAAACCAAACAATAACAAAAAACAGGATTAAGAGAGTCTTGTGGCACCTGAAGGATTAACTATTTTATTATAACGTGTAGGACTGCATTTTGCATGCCATATAATTATTTCTATTTTTCTTTAATAATCACACTCATTTTAAATGGTTTTAAATGCTATTCAAAATGTTTCGTTTTTCCTCCAAAATAATGTAAGCTATAGTAAGTATACGGTGCTGAGATTCTTACATTGCTTAAATGTCAAGAAAAATACACAAAAGCTGAGAGCTGTTATTTCACCACTAGAACCCAAAAGCCACATTCCTATATGTATTGTCAATAGGGAATGTCTGTATGCATGATTCATACAAAAATGTTTGTTTATTAGAATACTAATACTGTAAAATAGCATGTCTTTTAGTATGGAAATTTTTTCCACAGAGAAATATAACTGTGGAAAATGTCCTGCCTCAATGCTTATTCTATACTATTTTCCTGTGCTACTATCACAATTCTAGGTAGGCTTTTGCCTTTCTTTGCCATTCAGTACTTAGCCAGAGGTCATGGAGGGACCCCAGAGGCTAGTGCATTTTTCTCATCTGCTCTTTGTGGAGGTTGTCAAAGCATAGCTCCTTTCTCCCTCCTAGTGGCAAAAAATGTGATAAAAAGTCAGACTGGGTAAATTCATCTGTTCTCATAAAAATTTAAGTGAGTCATATTTGGCTGGAAGTGTCAGCGTGCATGTGTCTTATGGATGGCATTCTCTGAAAATGACAAACACTTCTGACCTTAACAAGGTGAAATCTCAGTGTTTGGTGTACATTGCAAAAATAATACAAAATAAGCCACATAAGTAAAAGCAAGTTGCCATTAAACCTAATTTGGAATGGGTGGAATAGATTGTATTTTCTATTTTCACCATTCAGACTACTTGTTCTCTCCAATTTGTGTGCAGAATTCTAATTGTTGAAGATTCTCTAACAAATTAAGCTGGTCAGTTTTTGTTAATGAAGATGGCACTACAGTTTTAGAAATTGAAATAATATTCCAGTAACTGAATAGATAATTTTAAATTGTACATGCTTGTACTAATCTAATATAAAAGAATAGTGTTTAAATCCAGGGTTTAGTTCCTAGATCAAATGTTAGGGGAATGTTAAATTTCAAGATCAGTTTTGATTAGTTCTGATAATTAAAAGTATACTTGCTCTCCAGTCTATTATGGTAATAATGAGATCTTGTCTATGTCTGTTAACATTGTATTGGTATGTAACATTCTGTATAGGCTGATGAAAAAAAATCCCTCCAGCATGAAGACAGAGCTACTACCTTTTAAAGAAGTTGTTAGCAAACAAATATGTCTGTTATTAGAACTAAAATAAAGTAGTCTCTTGCTTAGTAACATGTACTGGTCCCAATTGGGGTCATAAGTCAAGGACTACCTGTAAACAGTTGGTCTTATTGGTTGGTTGGTTGGTTGGTTGGTTATAATGTGCTGCTCCAGAAATATGTTCATGTATCTGTGTATATCCACTAAGGCAAAATAAACTCAATTGATGATGAACTTTTCTTATATTTAACAAGTGAATTATAAATCCTTCACTACACATCGGTGTTGCAAATACTTACTTTTAGCAAAATAATAAGCTGGTTTCAGCATGCTCTTGAGGAGACCTGTCTTTCTTTTAAAGGTTTGGTTGCTTAAATCTGCTTCAATGGACCACATTCCCGGAGCTTGGAAGACTCTTCCTGATGGAATTGGATTAAAGGATTCTGTCTTCAATGGATCCAGTTGTATTTCACCTACCATTGTTGAACAATTTGGTTATCAGCGCAGAGCATCTGATGATGGGAAACTTTTAGATTCCTCCAAGACAAGTAATACTATTCGTGTTTTTTTGCCTAATAAGCAACGCACAGTGGTGAGTCTGTTTCTTGTTTTGAGCAAAATAAAAGATTCACTGTTTTTTCCCTACTAGTTCATTCCAGTGCCCCAATAGTCTAAAAATGTTTAAATGTGGAAGAGTCCAGAATAGATACACTGACATTTTGTTCAACATGTTTACTCAATATATACACACCATAACTTTGGAGAAAGTAGTGAGACTGGTGTAATTTCTCTGAATATATGTATACCTACTCTTATGAGTAGGTCCTGCTAACGTATCCTTTCTGGACGTTAGATGGTTTCTTGTATTTTGCTCTTGGCTTGAAAGAGACTACTGAGTTGAGCCTCAAAAGAATTTTAGACTTGCATCCACATCATGAATATAGATTGTTAAACATTGCAGCAAAAATCACATCAGCTCAGGCAAATTAGAAAGAATCTGAAATGGATTCTTTTGTTAAATGGCTGACAAGCTTCTGGACATGGTAATGGTAAATTTAGATAGAATCTTAATTTTACTCATATAAATGATCTATAAACGTGTTTCTCATCTGTGAATAACATTTTTGCTTTCTTCTCTGACATCTTATTCAGGTTTTTTGTTTTTGCCACATATGGAACAGGGATGGCATTCTCTGACCCTTCTCTGTTTGTACAAAGTTTAACCTTAGTTTGCCTATGGCTACTAAAAAGTGCTTAAATGTGAGATTGTGTATTGTAAAGAAACCCAATATAAGAGTAAAGCTACTGGACTGTCTTCTGTGAGTTTTTTTTTAAAAGGCAGAAACAGAAACCTCTCATGTCTAGTTCCCTTCTTCCAGGGATATTTTTCTTTTTCCTTGGTTGCCTTAATCTGCATAATTGCTTATTAGGATTAACAGTTACCAGGTTTCCTCTCAATCAAAATCTAAAATT